ACAAGCGAATCCAGTACCTACCATGTTTTTTGATTGGGAATGTGTATCGAGAAACACCTTCAAGGATTCTAGCAGTTCGGTACAGGTTTGAATCAAAAGATGATGGAAGAACAACGGCGGAGTCTGCCTTTGCCAAAATAATTCTTGAGGTTGAAAGAAGCCTAGAAGTAGAATTATCAGCCACAAATACACGTTCTCCCACTTTAGTGATGTTGGGAGATCCACAGTCTATGAAAAAGTCATCGCCAGAAATACCTCCCAATGAAACCCAGATCAACCAGAAAATGGATGAAACTCCAATAAAAGCCTTATGGTTGGAACTGGAAGAACCCATGTATGAATGCAGAGACAGGATAGGGAATCTACAAAGCAATGTTAGATGAGCCCCAAACAGATTGCCAAAAGCTGATGAGACGGGGGCAAATACTAACGCAGAAGTGAAAAGACAGTACTTTGACAGAAAATTTCAAAAAGAAGAGACAGAAAACCTAGGAACAGAATCAATGAAAAGAATGAATAAGCCAAAATTGCTTCACCCCTCTCAAACCCAGAAGGCTCAGAACAAAAAAGTATTCACAGTCAAGTTTGGCTTCTCATATCCTGGAAAGAAACCAGAGAGAGATATAGAAGTATATGCCAAGAAACACGATGGGTACAAAAAGATACAATAATCACACACTAACCCCACAATTCCACTATTTTAAATTCCTGACGTACGTCCTGTTTGACAAATTCATGGGATTTTTGGTACCAGAAAGCAACAAAACGGGGGCCCATAAAGGATAAAGAAGAGAGTGGGGTCAAGGTTGTTGGACCAAAATCATCATGAAGACAGCTATCAGAGATAGCTAATCCTTTTTCACTCTGTGTCACGCTACAATGAGAGTTGTTACATCCATCAATTCGAAAGCTTTCCTGAATAAATGCGAGGGGGAGGGAAGCTTCCTTCTACGGCTCTCACAGGGAGTGCGTGGGCTTATCTGAAAAGGAAACGTTGAATGATGAAACAGGAACACTGGATCGATTTTTGTCGTGATCAGGTGGGTTGGCTGTTTCAATACGCGTTTTCAACGTACTACTGCTCACTGCTCTGAACACCACCGCCATTAGTTTTGGCCTATGCTGTGAGAATGAGCGCCATTTTTTATTTTTGTTCAGAGAGAATGATAATTGAACTGAGGAAAACTGGCAGCGCCAATACATGTGAGAATCTTTGGCCCAAAAAATATGTGAGAATTAATGAGATTGGTGTTGTAAATTTTATATTATACTACTTCTAGTATGTAATATGAGACATTGTTTAATTTTTATTTTGGTTTTAAATATGAGACCCTAATTCACTTTATCTATTATATTTATACAATTTTTTCTAAAATAATTCTTTTAATAATTGTAGTTTTAGCCAACACATTTGATTAATAAGAATATTTTAAGAAAGAGAATACTTATTTTTTATAAATAACTAACTTAACTTATTTTCTTAATCTTTTCAAATTAGTCAACTGGCTGCTCTTATATTAGGACCGGAGGTAGTATATATTTATTATCATTCGTAAAATTTGAATGGCCATTAATATTAACTCATATTTAATACACTCTAAATTTGAATACAAGACTTTTATTTATTTTATATCTTAAATTTATTGTTTTGTCATCCCTTTCAGGTGATAAAAAGTTTATATAAAAATGATTAAAAAAGAATATTTTAAAAAAATCAACATATATTTTAATAAATAATATCCTAAAATAATTTATAAAATTTATATAAATTAATTATCTAATTTTTATTTTTAGAATTAAAAAGAGTATATCTTATTAAAAGTTAAAATTAGAAAGTTATTAAATTTTAAGACACAAATAATGAATTTAAGGGTTTTATTTTTTTTTGTACAAACATGTTAGAAGTGACTTATAAATAAGACCAGAAAAATATAACATAATAAGAGCAGGAATTGAGAATAAATCTTTCGTTTAAAAATTAATTAGCAAATGATTCTTAAGAATGTTGTGTAATTTAACTTTTGTTAGGTGTAATTTAATTTCTCTTGTGCATAATCCATATTCTTTTATAGGCAATTATCTTCCCTTGCACATCATCTTTTTCTTTTGTTTTTTGTATAACCAAATTTTTATTGTGTATAATCTATCTTTAAGTAAGTTTTGTAGAGACCAAGTTTCAATATTTTTTTCCTTTTTTTTTTTTCCAGTAATTTTTTTCCATTTGTGAATAGAACAATCTAGTATAAATTTTGAAATATTTATAGGAAGTGTTGATTGATTTGAAAGTTTTAAAAGCATGTCGGACATGGATGCCCTGGTATCTATATATAACTATTTTTTAAAAGATCATGTCTCTACCTAAAATAAATTAAAAAAACCTGAGCAGATAACGTTGCTTCGCCTGCATGTGTTTCCTCCCTTATATTCTTTTTAATTAGAAAGACACCCACTAATAATTCGAAATTATAAGTTGGATTCAATTTATGGCCTCAAAAGTTACAGTTTTATGATACTCTATTCGGTCCCTAATATAAGAATTTGTTAGGATTGAATATAAAATTTAATTTATTTTATCTCTCATATTTATTTTTATTCTAAACTCATTAGTTAACTTATAAATTGATGTGTTAGAAAAAAAACTGATATATCATTTATATTAAATATTTTAGAGATATATCATATTTATTATAATTAATTTGTTTTACTATTAATTCATTCAATTAATTAATAACTCTTAAAAGATCACTAATAAAAACATAAGCATTTTCGTACATCAGTGACGCGGAGGGCACAAGTAACAAAAAAAAAGAAGGAATCTTTGGCTCGTTTAATTCAATTCTTTATTTTTATGTTCTTATCACAATTGTAAGAGTATGTTTTATAACAAATTTTGAAAATAAAAAATTCAAAAAAAAAGTATTCGAATAATTAGAAACGGTGAGTGAAAGGTAATGACTAATTTATTTTCCCCCGGATAAAAATGAATAATTACTTAGTACGATTGTCATTGATAAAAATTAATGTTCTCTCCCTCTTTTAATGTTTTTGTTTTCCAATACATAAGAAAACAAGTTTTTATGTCTTTTCCTTTTGTTTTTCAAAACAAAATACTGATGTTTTAAAACAGGTACCAATCAATTTTTGTTATCTATATTGCAATAAACATACAATTTGTTCATAATTTATAATTTTCACTTAATTATGTTTTATATTATTATAAAATTATATATCTGATACAGTTGAAAGTCATAATATTAGAAAAGAAATTAAAGATTCGGGTCAAAATAAAGAAAAGCGAATATTTAAAAAACCAATTGTAAATAAATTTATAAAACGAAGCAAAAAAAAATTTTAAAAATTACTGAGAAGCGAATTCTCCACTAGAAAGTGACAAGTAATAGAAAACATTACATGATACGCACGGCATCCAGCTGTATTAAGCTGCATGACTGAAACTCGATGGTCAATATTGAATGAATAATAACAAATATATTAATATTTTTGGCCAAAAAAAATATAATTATATTCTTTTTTTTTTTTTCCCTGATTACAGCAATGTATTCTAATATAACTCATTACTTCATCTAAGTAATTTCAATTTAATAGTTTTAAAAAATTAATTTGACATAGATAGATTGTTTTTCTGACTCCTATGAATTTATCATACTTATTATTTAAACATATAATTAGGTTTAGGTGCGTTCAGCACCTCAAAATATTTTGTCAGTGGCCTAGTGCCTAAAATATTTTATCGTGCGCCATTACCTTGAAATATTTTTCATAATTTATCACCCTCAAATATTTTGTGGTGTAATTTTGCCATTAAGGTATTAGTTTTTTCAGAAGCTTTTTACTTTTAAGTATTATTTCATAAGCAGTTTTTATTTCATCATACACTCCTCAAAAGGTCTGTTAAAGGAACGTATAAGGTATTTTTTCAGTATTTTTGAAGCAGTTGGATGTACCTAAAGGAATATTTTAAGGAGCTAGACACACACACAAAATACTTCAGGGTACTAAATACACCTAAAAAATATTTTAAAATGTTGGGTATATCACAAATATTTTAGAATACTAAACGTACTCTTCTTAACTCTTAAGTTTATATAAAGCCGATAATTATATGATTTTGTAATTAATTTTGAAAAAAAGATATTGCTCTTCATTGAAGTCATCAGGGAGATATGCATTATTACAATTATTAATTAACTATAATTAATAATTGTGGTCTTTGTCCGGCCTACACGCCATTAGGGGCCATGGAATAAGTATAATTGCTTTTAGTTTGTTTAATTAAAAGAAGCAAGGAATTTCTTAAATCACATCCTCCCCATTCATGAACTTTAAATTCTAACATTTAGACTGTGTTTGGGTGACACCCCAAACCATGGTTTGAGGAATAAATCAACCGAAACACCCACCCAAAAACCAAAACCAGGTTTTTGGAAAAAACAAAAAAATTTCTTTTGGAGAAAAAGGGAGAGTGTGAAAGTCTATAGGATATACTTGTTATTTTTTATAAACATATTTTTTGGAACATATTAATCTTATATTTTTAATATATTACATATTATTATTTATTATTTATATTATCTTAATGTATTATTAATTAGAACAAAAATATATTATTCATTGAATTTTATTCTTCAAATTAAAATATATCATAAAATCTATTTTTTCTTAATTATCATATTAACTTATGGTCTTTTTTTTAGTAATTTGTATGCCAAAAGGTGCTTCTGATAACAACTATCCAATCTCACTTCTTAAAATCACTTTTTTAAATCTATTTTTTCCAGAATCTATTCTTCTCAAATCTATTCTCCAGAATCACTTTTCCAAACCAACTTTGGTTTCATCTAACATTTATTCTTTAGATTGTGTGTAATTTACTTCATGCACATCTATTTTCAATTAATACAACAAGGTATGGTATAAAACTAATAACGATATTAAACCAACCAGACTAATTAAGGCTATGTACCGAGCCTAAAAACCCAATCTGATCCCCCTCTAATCTAATCCAATCCTGTTTAACCTAATGAAAAAGATAACCAACATGGGGGTGTTTGGCTTTTCCTATTAAAAGCATGTTCACGTAAATCGAGATAAAATTCTTATCATATATTTATTTTGTATACGGTAAAATTATTTTAAAAACTATAATTTGGTTTTATCCAAATAGTTCTAATTAGAGTGGATGAGTTCCAGGTTAATTCCTCTAATCACGTGGTCTAGTGTTTTTTTTTTTTTAAATAACAAAGGAGTTTAGTTTAACTTGTACTAGCATGAGCAGAATTCTTCATACCCCAGGCTAAGAAGTAAGAACGCATCTGACACAACAAAACTACAAACCTGGTATTAATATTTTTTCATAAAATTATAATTTATTACAAATTTTAGGGAAATTTTCATTAAAGGACTGTTATAGCAACCTAATTTTTTTCCACCCCAAATAATTTTGAAACATCGTTATAGTCTTTTGAGGCCAAAATGAAATTAACTTATGTAGCAAAAAGACCTTGCCGCCCCTTAATAAACCTAGATTGAAACTTACTCCCTCATCTTGCTCTGCTGCGTCTTTTGCCTTCCGTCTTCGTCGCCACCGTTAAAGTTGTGTTGAGCTTGTTATGCTTGCGGCCCTTGTTTTTCTAATCTTCTCAGTCTATTACTGTCACTCATGATGCTTTGTGATGCTCCTGTTACTTGATCTTTCTCTTTTACGCATTTGTAAGGTGTGGAGAATTTTAGAGCTCCAAGAAATTCGTGTAGTTTTGGCCACTCGTTTTGGGAAAAACTTGTTGCTCATGCCATTAAGTTATGCAACAACTGTGGAGCCCCTCTTCAAGTTTTTCCAGCGGCTTCATCATTCCCTTCACCACTACCTCACCCCCACTCTCACCCCCTCCATCATAGTTCTTCATTTTTTGTGCTATGAATAATGAATATACAATGTGTTATCTAAACAATGGTGATTTTGTGTCGTGAAAATCCTTGTTTGTGTTGTAAATTCATGACTTTCAGTTGTTCAAATAAACAGTGATTTCATGTTGTGAAAACTCGTATTTCTGTTATAAATTCTCAAATTTTAGTTGTAAAATTTTTTTTGAGATTTTGACTATAAATGAGAAATATGTCCTTTTTTTTTCTCTATAAATTGAATTGTAATATTTAAACTCGTACGTATACTTGCAAGATAGATGATTTTGTATAGCGTTGTGAATAGATAAAAAAAATTTCATGACGGTTGGTTGTAAGCTGTCTCAAGTACTGCTTTGAAATTGTCTGGCAAATATAAATGTTTGAACAAGTTAGTCTACTTGCAAATAGACATGTTTTACTTGTTATGTATCCTTGTTGTAAATTAGCATATTTTAGTTGTGAATAGTAGTTTCCATACTTTCAAATTATCATGTACAATTGCTTGAATTAAATTAGTTCACTTGCAAGTGGACATGTTTCTCTTGTTGATATATTTATTCCCATTGCAAATTTGCGCTTTCCAGTTGTGAATAATCCCTCCTAGACTTGCAAATTGGTGGGAAGTACAAAATAAAATATTAGAATTAACTGACTAATACACTCATTATAATATATATTTCATTATATTAAAATTGAAGTTGTACGAATTCTATATACATAAATTTGAACACATTTAGGACTAGCTTAAATCAGATACCAATTTGAAATATAACAATTGATATTTTCTCGCCACCATGCAATGAATACAACACATAAAACCTCAATGTCAGCCATATTGTTCCACTCTTCTAAAGCAACATTTGTAATTGGTCTTATCTCACATATCTTCTCTTTGTTTCGTTCCCAAAATTCAACCTTCAATACCTTCCATCTAGTAACTTTTGCATCACTTTTACCATCTTCACGTAATGATTATTATGTCATTAATAAGGATACTAAATACCACATCAAAATCCATAACATGTAACTTCACTTGTTACATAAAACCTCAAACTTGTAAATGCATTAATTGTTACTGTTAATTTTTCAATTTTACTTATTATAGGGCTAGACATGAAATCGCTGCAATTAACTTGTAAATGCACTAATTCTTCTTGTGAATTTCTTAAATTCAAGTGTTAGGCAATTTCAATGCAATACTTGGGACAGCTAATACCCAATTATCATGAAATTTTTTTATCTATTCATATCACTATACAAACTCATTTATCTTGCACACATAAGTATGAGTTCAAATATTATAGTTCAATTTATGAAAAAAAAAGACATATTTCTTATTTTATGGGCAAAATCTCATTAAAAAATTTACAACTAAAATTTGTGAATTTACAATAAAAATACAGTTTTCATAATACAAAAATCACCATTTATCTGAACAACTGGAATTCATGAATTTACACCACAACTAAAATTTTTGCAACACAAAATCACCATTTTTTAGATAACACACTGTATATTTGTTATTCATAACATAAAAAAACTTAAGAACCATGACAGAAGGTAAGAGTGGGGTGAGATAATGGTGAAGGGAATGACAAAATCGATTGAGAAACTTGAAGAGGGGCTCCACAGTTGTTGCGCAACTTAATGGCATAAGCAACAAACTTTTTCCCAAAACAAGTGACCGAAACTGCATGAGTTTCTTGAAGCTCTAGAAATGCTTCACATCTTGAAGATGCCTAAAAAAAAAAAAGATTGAGTAATAGAAGCACTATAAAGCAGTCATGAGTGATGGTTATAGACTGAGAAGATTAGGAAAATGAGAACCACACCATAACGAGATCAATACAACTTCAGCGGTAGCAGTGAAGACGGAAGACGAAGACGAAAGATGCAGTAGAGTTGGATGAGGGAGTGAGCTTCAATTTGGGTTTATAAGGGGCAGTAAGGTCTTTTTACTACATAAGTTAATTTTATTTTGGCCCCAAAAGACTGCAGTGAAGTTTCAGAATTATTTGGGGTGGAAGGAAATTAAGTTGCCGCAGCGGCCTTTAATAAAATTTTTCTTGAATTTTGTGTTTACTAAATTAGACAAGATATTTTTTTTGGCCGGCAATTAGACGGGATATTAACGATTTATATCTATGGTGCATAGAGAATATAGAATAAGTCACAATGTGTATATATCATGATTCATGCATGCTGATTTTATATTATACCCCTTGATATAATGAAGAATATCAAAATTAATATCAAATTCAAAACTTAATTCACTTAAAATATACTACCTTGGTCCTAAATATAATACTACATCCGATCCTTAATATAAGACCCTATTTGACTTTTATTTTGGTCCTAAATATAAAACCCCAATCCACTTTGTCTATCATATTTATACACTTTTTTTTAAAGTAGCCTTTCTAACAATGATAGTTTTAGTCAATACACTTGATTAATAAGGATATTTTAGGAAAGACAACACCTATTTAGGACAAATAACTAACTCAACTTACTTTCTTAATCTCCTCAAATTAGTCAACTGGCTCTTATAATTAGGACTGGAGGTAGTATATAATTTACGATACAAATTGTATTATTAATTAGATTTTTGTATTTAGAACTCAATGTATGTTTGCTATTATTGATTTGTCCGAGTCAGCATCTTTTTTCCTCAGCCAACATTCCGACAAAACTCAGCATATCATCCACCAAGAACATGTTTGGAATCTCGCATAGCATTTACATGGTTCCAAACGTAGCCTGCATTGTGTGTTTGGAACCAAGTGAAACCTGGATTGCCCGGGCCCAATGTGGCCATCACAAGTTTTGCTCGCAATCTCAGGCCGAACCGCTTGCTGGTTTCCGACTACTTGATCCCTTCAATAGACATTCTGTTTATATTCTATGATTGTATTCTCAGAAGTCAACAGGTCAACAAGTTACCCATTTTCTAATTGTTCTTATTAATCCCAACTCTCCAACCCCCATAATTTGCTTTATCCATCGCCTACTCCTTTTCTTGGGTTCACAGTTTGTTAATTACCATCAGAAAGCTTGCCAACGAATGTCGTCCTGGCTGAGGTCTGTAGTGAGTTATGCTGACTCCGTCGTTCAACATGCCGGCCAAGCCGTTGCCGAGGGTGCTAAAGTTCTGGAAGATCGCATTGTAATGCCCTATAATCTATCTCTTTGGTCTTTCTTATTATTTTCATTAATTCTTAGATTTTCTTACAATAAACATAGTAAATTATTATCCCCCTTTTACTTTTACTTTCGAAAATTAGCAAATGCCGAATTCATCCATAGATACGACGAATTCGTTGTAGTGTAGGTGATTTGGTGATTTTGGAAGCCAAATTGACTGAGTTGTTAATTTTGAGGACTAACTCATGCATGGGAGTAGTGTTTAGTAATTTTGTTTTCGCTCTCTTCTCATGGCGGCGTTGTTCTCAAATTAGGTTTTGCTATCTTTGTTTAATTTTCAATTAGAAATGTTTTTGTTAACCACATTTTGGGCAGTATTGGGTTCTATTATTAATTCTTAAAAAGTGTGATATTATTAACCGGGTTAACTGTTCGTTTTCCTCTTCTTCGTTTGGTTGATTGGCCACTCACTCTACAACTTCAAGCTCATAACATACAAGAAGGATAGTTTACAAGTTTGGCAGCTTGCCGCTTAAACGTTTATTGAGATGTTTACAATTTTGGCAACTTGCTTTCCAAAGGAAGTTTTGACTCTGAAGTCACCGTTAGTAGGCTAGTTTGCTCAGAAATATCCTATTTTTCTTAACTAGCCAGCAGAGGGGTTGCGATAGTGTTTCCTACTTATCAGTTCTCCCAGAGGAACGCACTGTTTAATTTTCCCTTGTTGTGATATGAATTGTCACATTCAGGATAACAATGAGAGATAAGGCGGCTTGTGCACAGTGAACTCTCACACACATTGTTTTTTAATTTATAGTAATATGAAGCTATGCATTGAGTATAAGATATGCTCTAAGATATTGATAAAGGTTAACTAAGATTCCTAAACAACAGTAAGCTCTTGGAATAATAAATCCCTAATTCTTTTAGAAGTTTCACTTGGATAGGTTTCTCGGCATTTGTATTCTTATTCTTTTTAGGGAATAGGATCGAGTCTTCTTTCTACCCATGTTGTAGTTTCCCAGCATTTTATGACAACATTTTGCAAGGAGTTTAGAAGTTCTTTGGATTGCAAATTAAATACTCAAACTGCCTGAAGATTCCATAAAACCTGGACTATCTAGTTCTAATTTTAATGCCGTATTCACAACGGTATTTGATGTTCTTTGATGTCAAGATGATTTGACCATGAAGGTCATATTAGATGCTTTGGTTAATTTGATCTCTAAATCTTGGGTTTTCTTGCAGGCTGGTCAAAATTTCAGAAGTGTTAAGAAGACAGTCGAGAGATTGGAAGAAGCTGCTACTTGCTATCAGGGCCCTGAAAGAGTACAATTGCTTAAAAGATGGTTAGTTTTGCTTAAAGAGGTTGAGGAAATGTCTACTGCTTTGGATGAAGATAAAGAGAAGACCCTTGAGAAGCACTTTGCTGTTGACAAAGCAAAGGAGAATTTGAGGAAACCATCTATGGTAAATAAAAGTTTTGTATTCAAGGCATGATTTATTTTAATCTAACTGAATTTTACTTATTACACTCTCCTCAATTTACCTGACTTTTGGAGTGTTAATGATCATGTGGTGTCTGAAAGCATGGTATGCTAGAGTTTCTAATTTGCTGAGACAGAGTCTAGCCTAGAAGTCTTTTCTAAGACTGCTTGTTTTTCCTAATTCCTGATAGTGCTGTTGTTTACTCAAAAGCTTTACGTGTTTGTGTTACACTATAATGGAATTCATTGACAGTTTGCTTCTTTTTTGTCATTCAATAGGAATAGGTTTTTCTCTTTCTTCAGTATTGTGTGGGAGCGGTTGTATTCTGTTGCCATGAACTTCATGGTATTGTTTCTAAATTACATCAATCATGGCTTCTTTCATTTTTCCCCCAAATACGGACTGATTGACTCTTAGACTCTAGAGTTCATACTACGATTTTATGGAGTCTGTTGGATGTCTTGTCTTGATCACAGCACTTGTTCCCTGGAAGAACCTGCTCAGTGTTAAAATATTAATGTAAATGACTAATTGAGCATGCAGAATTCAGATATGTGAATCATTGATGTGGGGCCAGAGAGAAAAGGGTTGGAGATAATGGGAAGAGGAGAAAGAGACAGAATATAAAAAAAGAGGATCGGTAGTCTTAATGTGAAAACAGTCTGTCAATTCTACAGCAAAGGCCTTTAAACGGATCTCAACAAATGATCGCTTTTTTTTGGGGGGGGGGGGGACAAATACAATGAGGTAACTCCATAATTCAATACATAATAGAAGTCTAGAAATATGTTGCAAAGACTGGGTTGGGAGAGGTTTCCCTGAGTTCTCCAATATACATTCTCCTATTTGAAGGTATTGCAGAGGGAAAGAACTCAACGAAATGATACTTTTATGGGTTGTATCAGAGTTTCAATTGAATCCTATTTTCTATGCCATCAAATCAGAAGATACTTTGATTATCATTATGCATAATTAGTGATTCCTAATTGGTGAAGGATCATTATATGCATAATGATTTCTTGTAATTGATATGGATGGTTTTGATTTTTTTGATGTATTTTTTTTAATATTGATTATAAAAGTATCCTTTTGTATGAGCTCTTTGTGATTGTTCTATTAATGCTATTGATCAGGTTTTGTATTATGATGCTGATGTTGGAGGTGAACCATTAAATTTCCGTGACGTTTTCATTCGAAGTCATTCTTTGGAGGGTATTATATTATCAATGGTATGTATAACGATGTGACTCTCAGCTATTTGTGTAAAATTGTGCTGAGTTGTAAAATTTTGCAAAATGGTTGATTATCACCTTATATGTTCCTATGTCCTCAAAAAAATGGAGAGTAACATTTTGTAACTTTCCTGATTCTTGAAGTTTCTCTTTTCCATATTTTAAGAGAGTTTTTTGACCCTTCCTGGTAGAATGGTGCTATCCAGCCACTTTCTTAAGATCTGTTCATGGATATGGTTTAATGTGTATTATGTGCTTACTCATTAATGTTAGGGCCATTTCGCCTACCTAATGATCTGAGCTCCTTCATCCTTGTGAAATGACAACCCACTGTTAGAATGGTTAATATGGAGGCCAGACACAGACTTGCAAACGTCAACACAGAAGTTACTTTCTTAATTTCTATTTTTTTAAAAAAGAAGGAAATAACTTTCTTGAATTTTGCCTATCCTCAAGAACTATAAGAATTGTATCATCCATGGCCTGCAGGAGAGAAACCTTGATCTCTCCAGCCCAAGCAACAAACCTCATGCAGTCCCTCTTTCCCCTTAGCAAATGTACAAAAATGTAACCCAACAACGGGGTCAAACATGAGGACAAGCTAGAAAGAGGTCCAGCTTTCTGGTACTCTTCAAATTAGCCGTCTTGTTTTTTGTGTCTGCTAAAAGCCAGTCATGTGAAACTACCCTGTTAACTAAACTGTTTGAATGATTT